GAAATGTTTAGTATTTATGGCAAAGGTTGATTAATTTCATTTCAGGTGATCATGATTTATGGTCTAAGTGTGACTCTTACCTTGAGCCCAGGGCTTGTTTAAGGGTTAACCTTGGATTTGGTTTTCTATCCAAAGATGGGAAAAGAAAAAAATATCACGTTCAGTAATGTATATTTGGCCCTGCGTCAGATGGGACCCTAGGGAGCGATTTTAGTTTTTAACTTAAATATTCATTTTTTCGCCGCAGCTCAGATGGCTCTCGCAGTTAATGAGGCATCCAGTACAATGTTATCTTGATCTTGATCTAGAAGTTGAGAGTAGGAGCTATTAGAACCGTCAATATTAGCGGCTATCGGTGGAATTCGACGTCTTCAAATGCTGATGAATAATGGTTAACCTTCTCCGACAGTTTTATCTATTCATATGTGCTTATATGATTACCAGACAATATTTAAAACACTCTTACATATTGAAATAAGGAAGCAGCTGTCCACAGCATCATTGATAGACTTAATTCTGCTACTGCGTTTCTGATACATTTGACTCCTAGGGGTCCATCTGACGCAGGGCCAAGTGTACAATTTTGAACGTGATATTTTTCTCGTTTTCCATATTTTGATAGAAAAACCAAATCCATAGTTAACCTTTAAATGACTCCTAAATTTCACCCCAGGGCTCAATATACAATAAGACCATAAATCATGACCACGGTAGTTTGTACGGAATTTGCCATAAAAATTAATCAACCATTGCCATCAGATGTAAACAAAAGCTGATTTGACCTGACCAAGTACATATTTGAATTTCCTGTTCATTTTATTTCTGGATAAAATAAATGGGATTTCCATTTTAACTCCTGAAGTTGACCTGTAAATGACTTCTAAGTTGGGTCAAATCATTATCGTATGGCCCCCTTAAAATCTTACAACTTTTATTTAGAAATTTTTCAATTGATGGTCATCCTACAAAGTTATTCGGAGTGATCAATTAAAATGGAACACCCTGTAGTGCGCGAAAGCTTCATTTCAAAGGGGGAGGGGCAATTTGGACTGTTTTCGGCCCCCTTCATTTATTATATTCAATAACTAATCAATTCCACCCCAAACGGGACCTCCCCCCTCTTTCCTAGTCAGGATCAAGGTCACATTGAGAAAAAGTGCATTAAATCAAAGTTTAGTTTTTTTGGGTAGTTAAGTCCGAATCGGAGATTAGTTTGTCTGTATCAGGCTATTTTAAGGTTGTTCCAAGGTCATTTCAAGATCAATTTGAGAAAAAAACCGAGCGATCAAGTTCGACCACATAGTATACAGGATTTTGGGATCGCTGAGTTCGAATTCGATGTCAGTTTGTCTGTATCAGGTTATGTGAAGGTCGTCTCAAGGTTAAATTGGGAAAAGCCAAGCAATTAAGTCTAACCGCGTATTTAGAATTGTTGAATTCAAATTTAAGGTCAGTTTGCATGTGTCAGGTCATTTGGAAGCCATTTTAAGGTCCTTTAAAAGTTAATTTGTGAAATAAACCCTGGAATCAATTACCGTTCTTATAGTCGCTTTGTATGTATTAATAAAGGTTATTTAAAATATATTTTTAAATAATTGATATCTTCAAAACAATGTTTAATTCTACAGGGTGTTAAAACAAGAGTGTAAAATATTTCAGGAGGTAATAGTATGAACCAAAATAAGCAGAAAAGTCTTAATAAACATGGGTCCGCAAAGTAACGGTTGCAGAGATATGGACCGGCCCTTCCTACCCATCTATGTGGAAAAGTTTGGTGTAAATGCTCTCTAACGGCCATGGAAAAATTAGCCGGAGCACCATCATGCTGGAACCACATTTGTTGCCTCTGATTCAAAGGAATGTCTTCCAAAAACTCATACAGTGTGTTCTGCAGAAAGTTGAGGTAAGCAGCGCCTGTTAATCGGTTTGGTAAAACAACAGGATATTCTCCGCACACTCGTACCTGGATTCTGCTCTACCAGTGCTAGAATTTCTTCTTCTGCTCTAGGAGTGGAAACCGACCTTGGTCTTCCGGAAAAATTACACTGTTTGCTCAAGGAACCGGTATCACGCAATCTTTGGTGAATTCTTCCAAACATGCGTTGTGAAGGAATCTGGCGATTTGGATAAGCATCAACATAGAGACGTCGCGCTTCGGTGGCGTTCCCATTAGCACGACCATACATGAAATGCATGTCTGTTAATTCTGCGTTAGAGTAACCAGCCATAGCGAAAGAAAACTTGTGCACTGAGAACAACTGTCAAATACGTACTGTTTATTTCACTAAAGATCAACCAACTATTATAAGAAAATACACAACGTTTTTGCAAAATAAAAAAAGGGGCTAAAAAACATAAAACATACCATATCTCCGCAACCGTTACTTTGTGGACCCATGTTTATTGAGACTTTTCTGCTTATTTTGGTTCATACTATTACCTCCTTAAATATTTTACCCTCTTTTTTTAACACCCTGTATATTGGTATTGTGATTTGCGAGAAGCAAATAGTCTGCGGGCTGATGCCTTCATCAGCATTAAATTAATATCAATATCAAGTTAAATATATCATTCCTCACCACAATCACCAATCTTATACAGGTTTCGACTATATTAGTTCTCATCATTACGCCATTAATTTAGCACTTTGTTATATTTTATATCTCACCCATAAATTTAGAATAAAAAAATTATGAGAACTTTCAGCATCCTGAAAACTATTCATAAGCAAAGAAAGTTTACAAAAAAAAACACGACATATCCCTGACCATAAACACTAAATATTATCTAGCAATTTGACACTATTTTTCTTCCAAAATCATTGTTCAAAAACTGATTTCAAAAGTAAATTTCAAGCCTTGTGTCTCAGAAACGCCAATTTGTGAATATACGTGGAATGCACCTCAAAAGAATTGTTTGCTTATACAATACAACAATGAATAAAAATCGTTGCAAATATTAACTTACTAAAGTGTAAATTCAAACTAAACTTAACGTTGTATTTCATGAAGAGGGTTCAGAAATTTATAATAAGTTAGAAGTCTTAAAAAAACATTATATTATTAGTTCTCGCATTTTTACGCTATATCTTACTTCACTTACATCTTATCAAATAAACTTCTTCATTTGATGATCAAAAAATGTTCCTCCTTACCAGAAACCTATGTAGGTATGCAATAGATCCAAAATAAAAACTAAAAATGATATGTCCAAATAATAGGCTTATTCGCACAGCAGTCAGAGCAACTGTCCGACACATTTTATTAAAAGAAACTTTTAATTTGAAGGCTGCGCAATGCGTATTATCCATTTTGTAAGCATAATTATATTTTTTAAACAGGTACAAAGAACATTTTATTTTTAGATAGACAGAAAATAACGAGCGTTCAAATAAAAACGTGGTCGAAGTTGGCTCTGACACATTGGACGTAGGGAGTAGCTTATAGCGACCAACTTAACCTCATTTCTCAACGAGCTGTATAGCAGCTGTCAGTTTCAATAACGTTAATGACTATATAACTTTATTTTAAAGAATAATCGTGATAACAATAACAAACAATTAAAGGAGAACAAACGCAAATCTTTTTTAACACTATGTGGCAGGTACCGTCTGATACTCCCACCATTTGTGATAAAACACGTACAGAAGTTCTTGGCGCATTTTCCATTATTTGTTAGACATTTTCTTTTAATTCTTCAGTCCGCTTTTTATGTCGGCCGCTTCCTTCTTTTCTTGTTACACTGCCCGTTTCACGAAAAACATTAACACAACGCTGAACTGCACTTTGAAAAATTTTGTACTCAACAACGCCGGGAAATTGATTTTGATATTCTATGAAACATTCCTCAATAGAATACTTCCATATTCCATCAATCTTGCGTCCATTTCTAAAGTAGGACTCTATGATAAACACTTTTTGTTCTTGAGAAAACACCATTTTAAACGCTTTTTAAAACGAAAATATTCAAATTAATAGCGGCGATATAGCGCTTTGACAGATGACGTTTAAGTTCATTTGCTATACGCTACGCCCTACGTCCAAATTTTCAGAACCAACTTGACCACGTTTTTATTTGAACGCTCGTTATAACATGGAAATACAAAGAACAGCTACCCATGATAAATCAAAATCAGCTTTTAAAATCAATCAAATTAAATTAAAAATAAATTCACTGTTGTGTTTTGTAAATAAATATATATTTTTAGGTTAGATACAAATATAAAATAACCAGATCTGTTGGAAATTGTCTTGTGCGAAGAATTCCAATTATACGGAACGTATACATTATGAAATTACCGTTTCTGCAGTATACATCTCAAACTCTGACAGAAGTTTGGTGTTCGCGAAGGATTCTCAAACTGTTACTTACTGACAATCAAACTGTTTAAAGATCTGTGGACTGCCAATCCGAAACATGCACATTAATTTCGGTAATCAAAGTTGTCTAATATTGGCTGCTTAATCAATGTTTAAGTTAATTTCAAATATATTTCATTTTTTGGCGGATTGATGTGCAAAGTCAGCTATGTTATTAGTGTTTTTTAATTGTTACTAATTATGTATAGTAGGACATATATTTTGAAATGAAATTACGGATTTAATCTGCAATTAAAAAAGGGCAAAAAACTCCTACTCCAACTAGTCGGTAGACAGGTTTGAGCTTAATGGATATCTCTTTTCTCTCTATTATCAGTTTGTTACCCTTATTTCAAAATTCTGTGTAAAATAGCAAACTCAAACTAAATAAAAATGCTTGTAGAAATTTACTGCAGAAACATAGCTAATTATTTCGGCATTCTTCAAACTTCTTGAATGAAGTTACATAATAGCAAATCAAGACAAGCAGTAAAAGCTAAAAAGTCAAGACAAGCAGAAAATTTAAAAAAAAATCTCATTTCGTATCCAGTCAAGTAGGCTTTAAAAACATCGAGCTACTTGACTTGACGATTCCCTCATCTTATTGTGTAACAATAAATTAACAATAGCAAATTGTTTCAGTCCAAGTTGAACTGCGAGGTGCTGTACGATGACCTGGCATTTGAGGTGCGTTGGGCGATAGCGGGAGAGAGCATTGTGGTGCAACTGGTTGCAAAATTAGGTAAGTCGTATATTACGTGCAAATTGCGGGAGTGGTGCCGGCGACACAAGTCAGCGATCGCCGTACATGTAATTTGATGCTTTTTAGATTTAATTAACGTATCATTAAGATGTCAGCGTACTGTAAAAGTTTGGTATTTCGACAACAGTAAATATTTGCAATAGGTATAAACTGCTTGACAGTGAAAGAGTAAACCTATTTTTTTAAATTCGTCACTTCATGCTATAAAAAATGCGTAAAGAAATTATTTTATTTTACTTATAATTTTTTGGAATGTTTTCATCCATCCTCATTCTCATTAAATTTCCTTGGGACCTATTTAACAATATTTACGTTTTCGTTGCAGTTGCAGTTGCAGTTAATATAGGTAACTTGTTTTGCATTTACCAACTTTGGATTAAATAAATTGGTAAAGAAATTGTAATAAATCAAGTTATAATGTATACATAGACCACATAGACTGGCTAAAGGGCGATTATGATGAAGGCAGTTGGGTGTCTAGTCGGTAGCCCAGCATCAGTCGTATCTGGAAACTTGAGCTGTACGTGTCGCTTTGATTTCAATAATTAGTTATTTTTTCATGGGCAAATGTATTGTAAGACATTGTATAAATAGAAGTGAACAAGTTGGTGAAAAAAACCGAAAAGTTTTCTAGATAAATAAAATAAGCAATAAAGCAATATATAAAACGTAAATTTAAACCATTATATACGCTATTTCTTGGTTAAGGCCAGAGTATTCCAGGGTCGACTTTATAATTTTGTTTGCACACATAGTGCAATGGTAAACGTGATGTTATTATAAATTGCTAATAAAATAATGAATAAATGATTGTAACATATGTTTAATAATTATTTACTTTACGTAAAATTTATATGAAATTTTTCCAATCCCCTAATTTTGAGGGAGCCGAAAATTAATGTGATATTATTTTTTGCGATCGAAAAAATAACAAAAAAATAATTTCAAATTCATGTTCAGCACCCTGGAAAAGGGGGATTGGAAAAATTTGATTACCAAATTTTTACACTTGCTTCGATTTTTCGAATCTAATATTTTAATTTTTACAGATTTCTAAATGATATTGTATGTATGATTATGTATCTGTACATAAAGTACAGATAGGTGAGAGCTTTTAAAAGACAGGATTGGATACCATCAAAATTTCACGTATATGTTCTAATCAGTTTGAAGAAATTTTTTTAATTTTCAAAAAAAAGAACGCAAATTAGCAAAAAATGCAGTTCCCACATTAAATCTACCAGAAATAATAAGTCATTATACTTTATATGTATGTATATGCACAGTGTGTTCAAGTTTGACCTAGAACACTTCTGTAACATTTGCCTGGACTGTGCGATTTGAATTTGAATTTTTTTACATGTAGGACTCTCCCAATACTTAGTGAACATTTTAATGCTCACCACATAATTTCATAAAAATTATCTTCACTAATACTTTTTTATGAACATGAACAGTCCCAGTCTCCTATCAGCCAACCTATCGTGTCGCAGTCATCATGATATTTTGACCTAAGTAGTTAAGTTAGGCGACTTTCCTAAATTTGCAATAAACAAAAAAAAGATAATCCGCAGAAAATAAACCTCGTTTAAAAAAGAAAAATGACAATTTAAGAAACAGAAAAAATAATAATTTTTTTTAATAACGATGTATTAAAAAACTTTTTAAATGTGAACATATTTAAAAATTTGCATGAACATCAATGTGATAATCTCCCTAACAATTGTAATCATTTAACAGAACTTGTAAGGGCTGTATGTGAATAGTATCTTGATGTGAGAATAAATTATGAAGTCAAAATATTTATTTCAGTAAAATCTACGAAAAGAGAAATATTAAATGAACGAACATTAGTTAAAGGACAATAAATATATTTAAATTATTTTGTAGGTTAATATAAGCAAGACATTAATATAAGCGAGACATTAAAATAAATTATTTTCTGAATTCCAAACTTGAAAAATGAATATCTGTCATAAGTGTAAAAATATTGCTTAATCCAGACCTGTTCACAGGATGCGCGGTCAGATTACATCGCACACTCCACTTCTCCGCAATTTGCCATCACTGATACCCGTGCATTGGAATTAGATACAGCCAGTCTAGGTGGTCTATGTAATGTATACCTTAAGTTTCACTTCTCATGGAACCACCTTTATATCTCTCTTAATTAAAATTAAAAAAAGGATAAAAGTTTTTAAAAACATAATGGATTTTTATCTAAAAGTTAATAATATATTCTAATTTAGCATCCCCAGAAGATCCACTTCTTATTTGTGGAAGGGCGAAATGGGCGGTGACTATTAGACGCCTTCATTATAGCCATCTTTCTCTATCGCACGGATTTTTATGACTTACTTTATCGCTCTCACATAACGGCCGATGAACCATGGGGACTTTCCGACCCTGTATGTTTTAAAGTCTATCGCTTTTTTAATTTTAGAACCAACTAAAATTTAGATTTAGTTATTCAGAATAATGGCTTTGCAGATAATTAATTTCGTACTAAAATGTCAAAATGTTTCTATTTAAAATAACCGAAATATAAGGACGTTTCCATAAAAAATTAACCAGTATACACAAAAATTACAGCACATTTCCTATGTAGTTGCAACAAATTGGTCAAGAAATTGGAAACAATAGAAATGGTTCATTTTTTGACTAATTTTGCAGATTTTTAATTTTCATTTGTTCAGTATCCAGTAATATCAATTTCAGTTACGTTATATAATTTCGACACTTAAGTCAATATTATATAGAATATACTATGTGTCCACTTTTATTTGTGTATAAATCCATAAAACTTGTATTATTTAAAATAATCAAAAGATTTTTTGATAACGTTAATCAGGATCCGTGACAACCCCCTTATAAAATAATTGATTACAAAATACACGGGATGTTCCGTTTTACATGGTCCCAACATTGAGAAAAATACCGAATTTTAAAGGCACTAGACGAGTCACGAAATGATGTCAAAACAATTGAATATTTCGCAGCACTAAAAAATTTTAGGGGAAGATCGTCATAAAAAATGTTGCAAGTGTGCCTTAGAAATCAATTTTTTTATCTACGTCATTGTCGTACATACTATTGAAAAAAATATGTTTATTTTTTTATCAAGTCACGAAAAACACGTATATAGGGAGCCTCGAAGCAAAGTAGATTGGATGTTTCAGACAGTAATCAGTAGATCAACTAGATATACAGTCTGAGCCTTTATAATCAAACAGACTGTATATACATACCAATTTCGAACTTATTAGTACTCATGGCACAAGCGATACGATTGATGAAGAGCGAATTAGCTATTTTAAAGTCTATCTACAGATAGTATGAGTATTTGTGAAATATATAAAGTGTTACATCCTAAATGGTCACCTCTACCCAATGCTCGGACGTCGATGGTATCAAACTGACAAAGATCAACCTACTAATCTTCCGGTACAATGAACGCAAGACAGTGTTGCAGAGGTAATATAAAACTAGAGTTATTTTATGGGAGACAATTATTACTTTGTAGTTACAACACAATCATTTTGTATGTTATAAGTACCTTAACTTATATTTACTGTAACCTTGCTTCTTGTTAGTTACGAGTATTACAACGTCTAGAGAAATCTTAAAGAAAGCTTTAATGCATAAATATCTAGGAGTGAAGATGAAATGGCGTTTCCTTGGTTGAAGATACATCAATCACATTTCTTCCTAGTGATTGGGTAGGAAATTGATATACCTACCTAAATTTCCTAATCTCATAATTTATTAAAAATTCAACTTAATTTAAATGATTTGTATGGATTTTAAATTGATAGGTTAGACATTTGCATAATTACATGGAAAAGTTGTTGAGAAATTGGAGCAAGGTAATTAACTTTAATTTGTTGATGAATTACTATTTCTATTACTACTATTATAGAAGTTTCTTGACTCATAAACGGTACATTTTATGAAAAAGACTAAAGACCCCACGTCGTAATGGGAAATAGTCTATCCAACACTATGGTTTTCAAAAGGAGTATCGCAAATGGTACAGGTAAATCTACAGCTAAAAAAAATGACTGTAGTAAAATGTCTTGCAGTTGTATTAATGCAACGTCGATACATAGGATTTTAAAAAACACAACACATCCTTATCGCATCCAGTGACACCAGGAATTACTAAAAGTAGACTTTCAGCGGAGACTGGAGTTTTGTGAGTGGGCACTGTTAAATCAAGATGATGATTTTTTTAAACGGGTCATGTTCTCCGATGACGCTATTTTTCATAAAAAATAGTCATAATTGCCATTATTATGACACAGTAAATCTCCACCAATTCCGGACAACTCATAGCCAATGATGATCTTTGAACGTATGGGGAGCAATTTTGGAAACCCATGTCAATGCACCATTCTTTTTTGACCAGCATCTAACTGGAGCAGTTTATTTAAACTTTTTAACAAACATACTAGAAGATTTGTTAGGCGACATTCCTTTAGCTGCACTTCGAAGAATGTAGATGCAATACAATATCGTTGCAGTTCGTCCGTTTTTACACGAAACTTTTCCAAACAGATGAATTGGGCGCGGGGGACCAGTAACTTGGCCTTCAAGGTGTCCAAATGTGACAAATTGCGACTTCTTTTTATGGGGATTTATAAAAAGCAAAGTTTACGTTACACCACCAACTACCGCCGAAGATATGTGGTAGCACATTACATGAGCATTTCAAAAAATTACGCCAGACATGCTGACCAATATTGAACAGTCTTTTAAAAACCGAACACTTTGAACAATTGATCTAAACCAGTGGTCTAAGTATTCTTCTCCTTGTTGTGTTCCGAGTTTCAATTTGTTTCGTTTTGCGTTTTGTTTTACAATTAGTTGTTGTTAGTGGTTTACATTTGTTTGTCAATCCACTTTCTAAACATGCCAGTAAATATTGACACTGTCAATCCCAGGCCTGATAAAATGTGAAAGAAAAGTGGTTTTGCAAG